ACAAACTGGATGTATTTTAAGCCTAGTTATAGCTCAGCTACAAAAAGAAATAATAAAGGAGAATTATTTATTTAAAAATCATAGTTATTTTAGGAATATATTCTGAACAATGTCAAGGTTAAATGACATCTTATATTTTTCTTAGTAAGAGAAATAAATACTTAAATTATAAATCTGATCAATATTTCTATTAGAACAAATGTATAAGCTGAAGACAAATAATTTTATTTGAATATATTCTGTGGTGATTTTCACCTCTTTTCTGATCGAACTAATTCTTCAGAGAATTGTCAGAATCATGAGTTCAAATAAGCATAATGTTTAAATGAAGATTAATACAGTATTCTTAAAATTTTTTATAAACGAGTTAACACTTTTTAAAAAAATACAGAATACTTATATCTGCAAAATGGCCAATTTGAAAAATTCTCTAGATTTGCCCTTTTTAAAATTTTTAAGTCAAAATCTACATTTGCAATTGAACACAAGAATAAAAGTATTTCCAGCTACTTATGGAATTGGTGGCCATACTTACACAGACTTTTAATACAGATTGCATCCACAATATTTTGAAAAATGAAGCAAAATGAACAAAAATGAAGAACTGAGGTTCTTTCCATAGGATCACAAACCCTGTTCTCTTTACCATTTGTTCCATAAAAATGAAAATTTAAATAAGCTATCACTAGAATAGGGCTTAATTTTCTGACAATGTTATCTTTCTGTACACATAATTAAAGAACCTGAGAGGAAGCAACTACAATACACCACCACTGTAACTTGTAAATTTAATTCTGACTTATAAACTATAATTGGGAATATATGTGATGTTCCACCAAACATGTACACATACATTTCATATATAAATATATATATATATATGTGAACCTGAAAAATAAGCTAACATAAAGACAGCTGCAAAAACATAAAATAATTAAAGTTGTAACCATTTGCAATATTACTGAATTGAATTGGAATCTCTTTTCAGTTAGCTTATTGTCTGCTTTTAAATTATTTTCTTCAACAATGGTTTTCAAACTTGTTAGGGTGACCAAAACTTGGAAGCCATGATGCCCTTTACATAGCACCATGAATTACTGATGTGCTTAATTCCAACATAAAATTACACAAGCTATGAACAATTTTACCAACCAAGCCAACCACCTAGAAAGGCATGATGCAAAGACAAATTTGTGTTTGATACAACTACTCAAGTTTCATGTCCTCCTCTTCCTGGTAATTCACTTTTGTCTAACCTTAGCTCCCAGATCTGATTTCTTAGCTCTCCAACCCTAACTTGAAACCTGTTCATCTTAACTTGACCCAACATTACCTGAACCTTGGCTTCTTGCTGTAGATGTGGCCTTAATGCATTCCAGTATGTCTGCAAGTGAAAGCCAGCTCATCCCTAAGAGTGAGGCGAGTGGATTTTGAGGTGCTCCAGAAATCTAGCCAAGGTAGACAGGGTTATTGTGGAAAAGAGGAACAGCATCTCTCATGCTTAAACCTGACACACAACAGGTGCTCGATAAATATACTAACCTGAAAAACATCTCCAAAGGTGAGCTTGGGAATGAAGGGGTCTAGCCAAAGTAAGATCTGAAGCAAAGGTGAGATAGTTAAATGGACAAGTCTGTAAATGGAGAATAGGAGTTAGAACCAGCAGAGATTTCTCAGCATTGCTGGCCATTAAGCCACTGTAGACTGTTTATATGCTCTTATTCCTCAAAGAATCTGAAAAGGTAAGTGAAAGTAGCTTAGAGCTCATAAATGTAGAATATCCTATCATTTTTTGCTGAACCAAGTCTGAGAGGAAGTTGTCTAAATTTTTGAACATAGAATTGCATTTTTTTCCTGTGGCTACAACTTGGTACGCAGCTGCAAATACAGGAGTACTTTTGCCCTATAAGCTTGGGTTCATTTATTTAACAAATAGATCTCTAAACATAGGGAATGCTTTTTAAATATAGAAAATCATCAACACCTATGTCCACACACACACAAATAGCTATTGAGCACCCAAATGAGCAGCTGTTTTTGTTTTACAGTAATTGATTTGCTTTGTTCACCTATTTGGTTGCCTGCTATCACTTTGAGGTAGGCAAGCAGTAGTCGGAATAGACATTTAAAAACTAGGAAATAACTAAGATTTGAAAATTTAATTTTTCTTAGAATTGAGAAAGGATTGCCATCATAATTATGAGGTATAGCATCCCAAACTAGCACATAGAATTGGAAATTTTCCACTGAAATTTTTTCTTTATGGAGTTTGAGAATTAACTTTTCCATGTTTTTTGTTTGTTTTTGCTTTTTGCCCATTTTCAAAGCATTTAAGCATTAGTCCAGTTGGGAACTATCACACGCCCCCTTCTAGGGTCTGAATGTCTGTGTCCCCCCAAAATTCATTATGCTGAAACCTAATTACCAATATGATATCAGGAGGTGGGGTCTTTGAAAAGTGATTACATCATGAAAGCAGAGCCCTCATGAATGTGGTTAGTGCCCTTGCAAAAGAGACCCCAGAAAGCTGCCTTGTCCCTTCCACCATGTGAGGACATAGCTAGAAGTCACCATCTGTGAACCAGGGAACAGACCCTCACCAGACACTGAATCTACTGGCACCCTGACTTTGGACTTTCCAGCCTCTAAAACCATGAGATAAATTTCTCTTGTTTATAAACTACCCATTTCACAGTATTTTGTTACAGCAGCCCAAATAGGCTAAGACACCCTCCTGACTTCTGGGTAAACTTAACAGTAAAAATTGTCATCTGTTGAACACTACTATGTGTCAGATGCTTGATAGTTATTTGATCTTCTTATTAAAAGACCTATGAGGTATTATCATCCCCATTTTGCAAATGAGGAATAGAGATGTGCAGAAAGGTTAGATAATTTACCCAAGGTTGTATGGCTGCTAAGTGGCCAAACCAGGAATCCAGCCTGAACTCCTCAGACTCCCAGTGGGTGATCCCTTTTGTCATAGCACTTTGCTATTATTACCAGGGAGATCAACCCTCTGCAATATAAATAGGCCTTTATGCTCCTTGTTTACCTTCCCTTCCTTCCTTCAACTATGTCCACTTGAGATTACTCTCAGGTATCCAAAAATAAATTAATTCATTGCCACCTGCTACTAAGAGGAACAAAGTCCAAAGAATGGAAATATATGCTTTAAAACTCCTGCTACACAATTACATGTTAGTTGTGTGTACATTACTGATTGGGCAGTAAATATAGCAACGCAATCAGTCACTGAGGAATAAAGCATTTCACTTTTCTTACAGACACATGATGTTCCTGCACCCCTATAACTATCTAAACTTTTAAATAAAAATAAGAAGCTATACTGAATATGATTTTCTCATTATCTTGAAGTTGTCATTACTAACAGTATTGTAAACCACACATTATAGTAATAATGCTTAGCACTGCTTTAGCTTTCCTAACTTATTACACCAAGTTTTATGTCAACAATCTATGATAAAATGACTTTTTCCCTTTCTTGTTCATGTGGTTGAAATTCCTAGAAGTTCAAGAACCAGATTGCTAGTATATTAAAAATTAAAAAAACGCAATGAAATTTTAATTTTCTTGTCACATTGTCCCCTTTTATACAGTACAAACTGACAATTTGAAATCTGAATTTTTCAGGCAGTTGAAATATACATCTTTACCTTTGATAAAAAATCTTTTGATATATTTATTCATTAATGTCCCATTTGGTAGTGCAACATAAATTTAACTTTTCCTTGATTCGGAGTCACTGTGAAGAACACATATTATACTAAGTTGCAATATAACCACGCCTTTAGGGATTTGCTGCACAAGGCTGTCTACCTGTACACTGCATGGCCCCTGCTTACTACAAATTTAGACTCTTTGGTGCCTATGTCAGCAGCCACAGTACTTGTCTTGCTGCCTAACATCCCATACCCCTACCCGCTTTGCTGTATCTGTATCTAATCTGGTGTGGGCCTGGAAATGTAACTGAAGTTGTTACAATGTATTCATTATGTCAGTAAGGTTCTTTATGAGGCAACATAAATTTAACTTTTCCTTGATTCGGAGTCACTGTGAAGAACACATATTATACTAAGTTGCAATATAACCACGCCTTTAGGGATTTGCTGCACAAGGCTGTCTACCTGTACACTGCATGGCCCCTGCTTACTACAAATTTAGACTCTTTGGTGCCTATGTCAGCAGCCACAGTACTTGTCTTGCTGCCTAACATCCCATACCCCTACCCGCTTTGCTGTATCTGTATCTAATCTGGTGTGGGCCTGGAAATGTAACTGAAGTTGTTACAATGTATTCATTATGTCAGTAAGGTTCTTTATGAGGTTTACAGGGCTCTCCCAGGAGGAAAAGACATTTACTGCTTATAAACTCTGTGGTGTCTATGTGGCCTACATCTATGTAGTGCTTCTTAGTGTTTCTGTGAGTTTAAATAATATTTTAATTATGTTTTTCGTCTTTAGATCTTCCTACAATTTCCTAACATTTATTGCCTAAAAATATTGAAGTAAAAAGTGTCTGTAAGTCAAATTTTAATTTCCATAAATGTCTAGGGCAATGGCTACAAATTAACATGCAATTGGAATTGGTGTTCTTAGGCAGTATGCTCAGAGAAATGTATGTTTAGAGAAATGGTGACCAGATCTTAATACCAGGAATTATGCAGAGTTACCAATACATTTTCTAATGAGAAGCATTTAACTTTCCAGTGTTCATTGTGATAGGAAGGTTGATAGTTCAAACAATTTATTGCTGCTTTATAGTATACATAATTAAATGAAACATGTTAAACTCAAGGGAATTTTTAATAGGTTACTTGCAATTATTATTGCAGGCAACAACTTGTACATGATTTTATTTTCAAATCCACAAAAAACAAATTTTATACAAATCAGCACTGTAAAAATGTCAATTACAGCCCCAGAGGCTTTGCTGGCAGAATAATTGTCTAAAGTCTAGGATATGGGAAACAGGGCAACAACTTGTACATGATTTTATTTTCAAATCCACAAAAAACAAATTTTATACAAATCAGCACTGTAAAAATGTCAATTACAGCCCCAGAGGCTTTGCTGGCAGAATAATTGTCTAAAGTCTAGGATATGGGAAACAGGTTTTTTTTCTGGATTCATTTTTTTTTTTTTTTCCATTTCATTTCCTTTTTTTTTTTTTTACAAAAAAATTTACAAGTGAAATGTTACTACAAAACTTTTTATAAGTAATTTTTGCAAAACATTTACATTTTACCATCAACTATTTCTGTTTTAAAATCATTATGTAGATTTAATACCCTATGCTGCACATCAATTTATGTGGGATGACAACTTAGTGACATGCATAAAAAAAACACCACAAGGCATTAAAATGGAGACTTAAATACAAATATTGTTGCAATAAAACAGTTATAAAATTGAAAAATAGGACCTAAACATCATGCTTATCTAAGTTTGACAAATTAACTTTTTCTCCTAGATTACACACTTTTATTACTGCTCTCATGAGTGTGATAAATAATGACTTAACATCAAGTTCTAATGTAATCAGCAACACATACACAAACCTAACCAAAGAAAGTATACGGTAAGAAAAAACTATTCTAACACTGGAGTTTTACCATGATAAATACATAGCTTTGCACTGATAATTACAATAAAGAAAAGTTTTATAACAGTGGCAAAGGGAATGAACAGTGAAATGCCATTAAACAACTCTACTGCACATCTGTGCCCTATTACTTATAACAGCTATATCCCACTGAGTCAAATAAAGGACACTGAAATTTACGATTCTTATAAGACAGAAAAGTGGACTCAGAATGGTATGCAGAACAGACTGTCAAAATATTTCTAATTTCAGTGGTGAAATGTGCACCTGCTAACACAAATTTTATATGCTATAAAGCTATCCAGATTCAGTTTGATCAATTCATAATAGGCCTCATTGTTGATTAAAAATAACTTTCATTTCTGATGAACATATATAGCTTTGCATTAAAACTGATTTGGGAAATAATGATGCAGAGTGCTCACACTTGGTACTGACAACAACAAAAAGTGTCACTCTGAGGAAACATGATTAAAACATTAAGAAAGTTTCTTTGCATAAAAAAATTTATAGCACTGATTGTGTAGCATAATGATAGATAAAATATATATTTGATGTTTCAGCTCCTATATAATAAAATTAAAATTAACAATACCAAATGCTCCTCTGTACCAAACAAAACAACAAACTGATTCTGATGTTTTAAAGCCAGGAACATCAGTTGTTAAGAGTACATTAAATAAAATATACAAAACAATTTACAAAATCCAACTAAAATTTAAAGACTCTGTTACAAGTCTACAAAAGCTTTAAGAAACTTGAAATTTATAACCACAGTGTAAAAATTTTTTTTCCTTTAATCTCAAAGCTTTTTTATACAAACCGAAAGCACAAAAGACCTTCAGTTTTATATAACGCTACAAAGGGCTGGCCTAAAGTGTACATAGTGTAAACAGTGATCATTACAGTATTTCTCCTTCATCAAAAATACAAGAAACATCACAATTTTGGAAGAGAATTCGCATGAGTAGTACTTTTCCTGAAATAATAGAGAATGCACAAGAAAACATGTACCTATATTCAAACAGTCCGCAAACCCATGATATTAATAAATAGAACGGGTAAAAACTTTAGTTTTCAAATGGTCAATTTCATTAATTAAGATGCTGTGTAAATACTTTTTAAAAACACAAAATATCTTCTTAATGGTTAAGCTATTGGTATAATCCAAATTTTTTTCATATGAAACTTTTGGCCATCTTTCCTAACAAGACCCTTGCATAAACAATGAAATATATTTTTTTTAGTCACTTATTTGACTGAAAATTATTCTGATTTTTCAAAAATAATTTTTGCTTCTTATCACATCTATTATATATTTGTTAGGCTAATTTTTAGGAAAAATTCAGTTATTGATATAACATAAAGACATTACTGTGTTATAAATTCCTAATTAAACTTCTAACACAGTGCTAGAAATAAAATGAGATTGGCCAATTTTTAGTATAGGAAAACAAAAATTATAATGTAGATACAAGATAATTTTCTGCCAGCCTTGAAAAAAAGTGTGATAATTCTTTCTTTGGCTACCAAGTCAAAATATAAAGAATGCTGCACATTGTCAACATAACTCATATTTACAGAATATGAAACTACAGAACAATTTACACTCTATGCAAATATTTCCAATATAAACATTTAAAATGAAATTTTATGGTTCAGCCTAGGGTTAGGAATATAATCAATCCTAACTTTAAAACATTGCATGTTAAGTTGCCTCATTTTATTTTTCTGAAGCTATTATGAATTTTAACTACTTTTTTCCCAACATTTTCTAGAATTTAACCTAAGATTTAGCTCTAAGTTTCTCTTGTGTCTCCAAATGGAGAAAGTAATTGGACTTCACTGATTGTCTGCATACACACTACTATAATGTAGTGGTGATAAAGATCTGAGTTGCATCTCAGATTACTGTTTTGGAACTCACCTAATTCAACTGCTGAAGAATTTCTAACACTTAGAAAAGACGGCCAAAATTATTTTCAGTTCATTTTTCAAAAATCAAGCTAAGGAAATACAGTATCATCCCTATAATCAGTTAACTATCTGTTTTCTGTGCTACAGAGAAAAAGAAATACACGTAAATTATTACTGACTAGATTTATAACAAAGTACTTTCAAAGAAAATAAATCCAATTATGGTCCAGTCTACAAACTACTGAGGTCTGTCTTTTTAAACACGTTATCACATGATGTTAGAAGAGGGGAAGATTCTGTTTAAAGGTTATGTGATATATTTCCAAATAACTACAACTTATAGCATGGAGGAAATACTTTTCTGTTTCCAGTATATCAGTTAGCTTTTTGTATTTTTTAAAATTCAACACCTCATGTGTTGACCCAAAATCCTGGAATAGTTAAAGAAGCCAAGAATGAAAACATGATTTCCTACTCTGTAATCCACTTGACCAGCCCATTTCCAGATATTCAACGATGTGTAAACTTAAATGCAGCACTAGAGGTCTCTGTTATAAATAACTTTTCAGAATTCTTCCATGTTGGTTGAAACATTGGGAGTTGCTGGATTTGAATCTTGAGAAATGGCTGCAACTGTGACAATTCTTGGGGAGCCAAGCACCTCTGTAACAGATGAGTCCAGTTCTCCCGAGGTAACAATGGCAAGGGCTGTCCCACCACCTTTCTTATTCTGGTGCGTTTTGACATGTTTGGAAAGATGATCACTCCGCATAAACCTTTTAGAACATTCCGGGCATTCAAATCTCTTTTCACCTAAACAGAAAAATAGTAAATGAAGTTATATACATTTTACTTAAATGAAATTATAACTTTAAATAATTTCTCTCTGGCCACACTATACTTTTTGTAAGTTACGACTCTTTATAGTTTGACTAGTTGTAAAATATTTTATTTCCATTTTATTTAAAAAGACTATCAAACAAGTAGTGCAATATAGGAGAAAGACAATGTAATTGAGAATAAAAGACATGAACTGAAGTTCTGGTTCTGCTATGAACTGGAAAAAAAAGCTAGAGCAAGTAAAATAATCACTGTGGGCCTCAGTTTCCCCATCTACAAAACAAGGGGGTTTCTAACAGATGATCCTGAAAATCTCTACCAGATGTAACAATATATGACATTCAAGGCTCCTGTCCACTCTTTTTTAAAACTGCTACCTATGTTTTAGTTTTAATCCCTATAGGCATGAAATGTCTTAGAACCATTTCCACTAAAGTTAATAATTTAATAGTGTACTGAGTTCTTAACAAGGCAAAAATGGGAGGCAGGCACATTCTGCATTTCAAATTTAATAGAGTTTTTAGGTTTCACAGAGTAACACCGTTAGCTTCTGTTATCCAAAGTGATCCTTAAATATGCTCTCTTCAAAATATAAGATAGTTCTAGTGAAACTACTTCTAAGCTTTGGAATAAAAACTGTTAACAAAAAAAGAAAAAAAGCCATTTTATTTTTGTGCATAATGAATGGGGCACATAAAAACTTGGTTAATTGGTATATCCTTATGTTCACAATAAATATTAGCTTTAATCCTTCCCTTTTCATATACATAGAAAACCCTAAAGACTCCACCAAAAAATTATTACAACTAATAAATGAACTAATAAACAGAGGATACAAAATCAACACACAAAAATCGATAGCCTTCCTATATGCCAATAACTAAATAAGCAAACAAGAAATCAAGAAAGTAATCGCATTCACAACAGCTACCAAAAAAATAAAATACCCAGGAGTAAATTTAACCAAGGTGAAAGACCTTTATAATAAAAACTAGAAAACATTAGTGAAAAAAATTGAGGAGGATACAAATAAATGGAAAGATCCCATTTTATGGGTTGGAAGAATTAACATCATCAAAATTTCCATATCACCCAAAGCAATCTACACTTTCAACACAATCCCTATCAAAATACCGACAACATTCTTTCGGAAATAGAAAAAGGATCTTAAAATATTTATGGAACCACAAAAAACCCTGTATAGCTAAAGTGATCATGAACAAAAAGAACAAAGTTGGAAGCATCATACTACCTGACTTCACATTATACTATAAAGCTATAGTAACCACAATAGCATAGCACTGGCATAAAAACAGACAGACCAATGGAACAGAATAGAGAGCCCAGAAATAAACCCACCCACCAACAGCCAACTGATTTTCAACAAAGGACCCAAAAATATACAATGGGGAAAAGGACGGCCTCTTCAATAAATGCTGGTGGGAAAACTGGATATCCACATGCAGAAGACTGAAACTAGACTCCTGTCTCTCACCATATACAAAAACCAACTCAAAATGGATTAAAGATCTAAATTTAAGACTGGAAACTATGAAACTCCCAGAAGAAAACATAGCGAGGGAAAAGCTACACGAAATGGGAGTGAGCAGCGCTTTTTTGAACGAGACTATAAAGGCATAGGCAACTAAAGCAAAAATAGACAAATGGGAATATATCAAACTAAAAAGCCTCTGCACAGCAAGGGACACTATCAACAAAGTAAAGAGACAACTTACAGAATGGGAGAAAGAGTTTGCAAACTGCACATCAGACAAGGGGCTAATATCCAGAATATATAAGGAACTCAAACAACTCCACAGCAAAAAACCAAATAACCCAATTAAAAAATTGGCAAAGGACCTGAACAGATATTTCTCAAAAGAAGACATACAGATGGCCCACAGGCACATGAGAAAATGGTCAACATCACTATTCATCAGGGAAATCCAAGTTAAAACCACAATGAGATATCATCTCACCCCAGTTAGAATGGCTATTATCAACAAGACAAAACAACAAACGCTGGAGAGGATGTGAGGAAAAGGGAACTCTCCTACACTGTTGGTTGGAATATAAATTGGTACAGCCACTGTGGAAAACAGTATGGAGGTTCCTCAGAGAATTAAAAACATACACACCATAGGACCTAGCTATCCCACTACTGGGTATATACCCGAAGGAAAAGAAATCAATATATCAAAAAGACATCTGCGTTTCCATGTTTATCACAACACTATTCACAATACTCAAGAGATGGAATCAACTTAAATACCCATCTGAAACAGATGAATGGATAAAAAAACTGTATATATTCCATATACACAATGGAATACTATTCAGCTATAAAAAAATAAAATTCTATCAGTTACAGCAACATGGATGGAACTGGAGACAATCATGCTAAGTGAAGTCAGTCAGGCACAGAAAGACAAATACCGCATGATATCACTCATGTGTGAAATCTAAAAAAAAAAAAAGAAAAGAAAAGAGGTTCTTATAGAGGTAGAGAGTAGAATAATGGTTACCAGAGGCAGGTGGGGGGGGCAGGGGGGAGGACAATGGTGGATTAACAGGTACAAAACTAAAAACTATGGTATCTACCCTAAGTGAATCACTGTGCAATATATGCATGTACTGAAACAACACACTGTACCCCACAAATATATACAAATAAATGTTAAAAAAATTTTGAAAAACACAAACGATTACTTAAGAGAATGAAATGGTGTTTTCCTAGTCTGATAGTAGAACTTGTATAATAAGAATTCAGTTTTGCTGATTACTTTTCTTGGCCTTGCTTTTGACTTACCAGTAGAAAATCTACAGGTTCAAGTCTGTCAGTGTAAGATATTTTCTCCTTTTCTTCATGTGTCTGCTTTTACTTTTTTAAAAATTACATTTGCAGTATCTTATAGAACTTTTCTTTCTTGTCACAGTCTTTAAAAATTAAAGGATATATAAATGGTTTAGACAAAATTCACATTCAAAATAAAGGTAATTAAGTTTTAAGGTAAAGGGATTTTCATGAATGTTGATACTTAGGTAAGGTTGAAAAAATTAAATGCAGTTGAGGATCAATGTTAAATTCCTTTACCCTTTCAACTTTACCATTTTATTTCAAAAGAAATACAGTTTACAAATTTTAAAGCTGAATGAAATCTTGAAGATCTTATATTTTCGTTTTACAGATGAGTATGTTATATTTTCATTTTACAGATCAGGAAGTCAAGGTTCAGAAATTAATTTGTATGAGAATCGTACAACTTATTAATGACAAAGCAGGATTCCAGGCATCTGATTTCTAGCTTAGGCTCTTTATTTTACACCACCAGACTGCAACTAGAGACTGTTATTTTATAGCAACAATGGCTGTGAATTATCAGAAAGAAATCAGGTGGTGATGGCCTGAAGATATCAGATTGTTCAGTAAGTACACAGCTGGTGTTCAACCTGTACACAGTGGCTGCTTACTAAATATTTGTTAATTGTGATGTTTATGAACTCAGTCATTTTTCAACAAATATTTGTGAACATCTGCAATATGCCAAGCACTGACGATACGAAAATGAACAAGTGAGATTCTCTGACTTTAGGGAGCTTCCCCTCTCTTGAGATAGTTATTTGCAACCATGTAGAGCTACCAGTACCAATTAAGAAATAAAGAAATTCAAGTCATCAGCTACTCAGTGGCCTACTGTAAGATAAATGGGAAATGACAGTGACTAGGTTTGTGTGTGGACTTTGTAGTCTGTCTATTCATAAATGATGTGGTTATCCAATTAATTCCAAGTAATAAAAGCCGGCTAGAATCTCAAATAAGTAAATTATGTTGTAATTGACTTTTATTAGGGAATGACTCAATTCAGTTTATTATCCTTTTCCACAGAGAAGTGTGTTTTTGGTCATGTCAGATAATTTCTAAGTTTCCTACCTTTAGAAAATATTATTGTTATACTTTATTTCAAGGAGGTAAAGAGTGCTTGTACTAGCTATATATATATATATCTTTTTTATATTTATAATTATTTTAGGTTTCATAACTATTTATAATACATGAATATTTTTTATAATTAATGGAACTAATTACCGAAACTGTTGATATTAATTACTATGGTAGGCAGAATGATTCTACAAAGATGTCCATGCCCTAATCCCTGGAACTTGTAAATATACTATGCTACACGGTAAAAGGGACTTAGCAGATGTAACTAAGGTCATGGAGTTAATGTAGGGAGATTATTCAGAATTATCTGGATGGGCCCAATCTAATCACAGGAGCTCTTAAAAGCAAAGAACTTTCTTCAGCTGGAGTCAGAGAGATTAGAAGTGTGAGAGGGACCTGACCTGCTATTGCTGGAGATGGTCACATAGAAAGTATAAGAAGGAATGTGGGCAGCCTCTAAGAGTTGACACTGGTCCCCAGCTGACAGCCAGCAAGGAAAAAGGGACCTAACTCCTACCAACAGCAAGGATCTGAATTGAGCTGACAATTCTTCCCCAGAGCCTTCAGAAAGGAATGCTGCCTTGATGACACCTTGATTTCGGACTCCATGAGACACTAAGCAGAGCACCTAGCTGAGCCCACTTGGACTTCTGACCTAAAGAAACTATGAGGTAATAAATGTGTGCATTGGAAGCTTTTAAAATTTGTGGCAATTTGTTATGGCAGCAATGGAAAACTAATAGTTACATAAGATATAACCTTAAAAAAAATTAAAGTCTAATAAAATAAATTATACCTGACCTATTGTACGAGGATACTCCAAAAAGTTCATGGAAAGATTCATATTATCTCTTCTATTTTTCCATGAACTTTGTATAGTTCCAGATCTGTCAAATGTCTTCATCATAAGTACCAAAGCATGTCAGGGACAAAGTCCAAACTTTATATTTCTATGAAAATCTCAAAAACATAACCCAAACATTTTTTAATAAACTGAGTATAGAAAAAGTTGCTTCTTTTGGTTACTTTA